TAAAAGAAGAATATCTGGCAATTGACACTAATTTGAAATCGTCTCCCTAAATTATACCTTACCTGGCCTTGTCTTCTCCAAAGAATACAATAATTCCCAAGTTTACGTAATAAAGTAGCATCAATTAATCTGATTTTTCTCTAGAAACAGACTCCTATTGTGAGCTGAATCCTTCACCAGGGCTCCAGAGCCCAAGTTTTTTTTTTGTTTTTTTTTTTTTTTAAGTAAGAATAAAGCCGGGCAGTGGTGGCACACGCCTTTAATCCCAGCACTCAGGAGGCAGAGCCAGGCAACTCTCTGTGAGTTCAAGGTCAGTATGGTCTACAGAGCGAGATCCAGGACAGGCACCAAACCTACACAGAGAAACCCTGTCTAGAAAAAAAAATGAACATAAATTATGCTGAATTGACTCTATGAATGGGAACTACTATTGCATCTCTCACACCTCGTAGAGTGCCTGAAACCCAGTGATACTCAGTACATGCACCCTTGTGGAAATGACGAAGGGATAAAGACACACCGGTCAGTCCAGCTATTAAATAAACACAGCAATCAATAGCACTTGTGGATCCAGGAGAGAGTCAAGGAGTTTGATTTCAGATTTTCTATTTCTTCTTGAGTCAACTCTAACAGGTGGCAGTTAGTTGGTTTGCTGTCTACCACACTTCTCCTAAGCTGTCAGATGTCGCACAAGATGCTGTCCACTAGTGTCTGCTGCAGCTAGCAGCTGTTCTCTCCTCTGTTTATTTGAGAGGTTTTCTGCAGACTGAACACAGCAGCCCCCATAATTTTAGTATGTCATACTACTAGTCAATTTAAGATACTTCCTAATTCCTTCAGCAATTTCTTCTTTGACTTTGATGTACTAAACAAGTAGTGAAATTATAAAGAAGAGCCTGGAATGAGACTGTGCTCCCAGACACTGTCATGAAGGCAAGAGGAAATGACAAGAATCCTGATCTCTGCTTAAATTTCTTAGTTCATCATGCGTTTATGCATTGCTTTATTATTTCATTGTATGTGTATGGGCATTTCGCCTACATGGACATCTGTACAGCATGTGTGTGCCCTGGTGCCAGTGGAAGACAGAAGAGGTCATCAGATCCCCTGGTACTGGAGTTACTGACTGGTTGAGTCACCTCATGGATCCTGGGAATTAAACTCAACCCCCCGGAAGAGCAACCAGTGTTCTGACCACTGAGCCATCTCTCTAACTGTTGTTAGTTGTTTTTCACTCTTTGTTCTTTTGGGAGACCACCACTCAGCTCCCCCCAAAAAAATACATGCAGAGTCTTATTACTACTTATATACGCCTGGCCTTAGCTTGGCTTGTTTTTTGCCAGCTTTTCTTAACTTAACCCATATCTGCCTTTGGCCTCTGGGCTTTTACCTTTCTCTATTTCTGTATACCTTTCTTTCTTACTCCATTGCTGGTTGTGTAGCTGGGTGGATGGCCTCTGATGTCCTCCTCCATCTCTCGGTCCTTCTACCTCTCCTCCCAGATTTCTCCTTCTATATATTCTCTCTGCCTGCCAG